AGTGGCGAAACGTCACCCACCTGAGTGTGTGTGCGTGTGTGTGTGTGTGTGCTCCCCTCCCCTCGTTGCAATACACACACACACACACAGACACACGCTTCCTATGAAGTCACTTCAAGTCTGGCACCACAGAAGCAACATAAATCAAGCACATTTATGCAGACGGACTGCATACTGGGTGCATGACTAATAATTACAGCAGCATATCCTCCACTCTGAGTTGCTTTGCATCAGAGTAGCCGCTTGATCAACATGATGCGATAAGCAGACGGACGTACAGACAGAATCTGTCTGTGTGCGTTACAGGATCTGTAGGTGATAAGCAGCTGATCACACCTAGAAACAGGGCACACTGTCTGCTAAAGACGAAGACAGAATCGCATAAAAACATGGGAAGAAAGAAATATGTGCTTCAACATTGGGCTAACTGAGGTCAATTACAACAAAGATGAGCCAGAAAGTCTCTGAAAAAGTATTTCCATCCCTTGAGCATCCACCTGTTTGAGATTTTATCCAACACAGCAACAAAGTAGTGTACTTGTGAAAGAACAGAAAGAGAAAAAAAAGAATAATTCTTCCTTTTCTTTCTACTTCACAATTACGCTCAATTTAGTGTCGGCCTCTCACATGAAAGAGTACTGAAATGCACAGGTTTTAAAGTGGCAACACGTGAAACAGTTCAAGAGAGCAAATACTTTTGCAAGCCCTAGTAAAAGAAACTTTCCGCTGTGTTAGAGGACACAGAAGAACAGACGTTCAAAGTTCGAGACACAAAGCTTCTGTTTCTGCAAATATCAGCCCACATTTTAAATGAATTTTCCAGACCTCGACCTGGAAAAGACTTTATAGATTCTGGCAACCAGAGGTTTCCCAAATTCCCAGGAAAAAGAACAAAAAAAAAAAACAAAAAAAATAGACTTCCCCTCCCTCCTCCCACTATTAGTAGACATTCCTATTGGTCTAAAGACGGACATTTACTTTCATCTTTCAGCTCAGAGAGATGCTGTCATTGTTTGAAAGGAAGGAATGAAATTCAAGATCCCGTCTGGTAGAGAAAAAGGAAAGGCCTTAGGTAATGCAAAGTCAGACGTTTTTAAAAAAAATAAAAAAATTAGACATTTAACAGCAATATTGTCTGAGACCTTACCTCAGCCTCTTCCCTCATCTCTCCAGCCTCCTCCTCTTGTCCTCCTTGTTTGGGCAAATAGGCCATCTTCAGACGCAAGTAACCCTTCACCCTGGACTTGTGACTAGAACGACAACACGACCTCTTTAAAGTATAGGTCAGTTTCTACATAATGCCTGATTTTAGTTCATTTTTAGCAGTCTAATAAAAGTTGGATCGACGATCATGAGGGTTGAAAATCATTCCAATATCAGTTTTTATTCATTGGATTGTGTCGCAAATATTTGAGCCGCGACTTCAGTAAAAACCAACCTTCTTGGTCGAAGCAGGAAGTCTTTAAACGTGTACGGGCGCTCCATAGCAGGATCCTCTGTCTGTAAAGAGGACAAAATTATAAAAATCTTAGACAAAAACTAATTATCGCAATCTTTTCAAAGGTTGCCACAACCCCTTCTGAACCCATCCCACCATCATTATGCAACACTGAGGTTCTCCTGTTTCCTACTGAGGAGCAGAAAGGTCGCGGATAGTTCTCAGCTTTCTCACTGCCCCGTGACTGGGCACAACCAGTCCATGCTGGCTGCTCACCTTAAAACCACTAAGTCGGATGCCGCACACACAAAATGTCAGTTTGCACAACTAAATTAGAAAGAGTATTCAATAGCACAGTTAAATGCCTATTTATAACAAGAAACACGAGGAAGCTATCAAAATCAAAACCTGATTATAGATGTTTTAAAGCAATCACAGTGCAAACATGAGCTCAATAAGATGAATACAAATGGTGCAAGATCACACTGAAGGAGCTTTCAAAAAGCGTGATTTCGCCAAATCTAACGCTGCGATGTTTATGTCGACCTGTGAAAAAGTGCTCCGTGTTTCAGAAGGCAAACGTGGCGAACATGGGGCAGCGCTGGACCACCACGCATGAGTCAGCTTTGAATCCTGACGCATAGCAGAACTCGTGTGACAAACTACTACAGAGGAAAAGATGACGACTTCAGAAGTCCCGTAACTATGAATAAGACACATTTTAACAACTTGCAGTAATGTAAAACAGAAATGAACCGAATGAAAACACCTCAACAGTGGCATTATTCTTCCTGAGTCATGCTCGCACACTTGAGCAAGTAAATTGAGATGCAGTATTAGCTAAACTGAAGCAACACACCCTGTTCCTTTCACAGCTCAAAAGAAGTCCACTGTGGCTTTCATCTGCCAACAATTTCCACAACCGCTGGGACTCAGACAGGACATTAATAATTAATCCCAACAATGTCCACTAATGGGCTTTTCAGGCTCGACATCCAAGGCAAAACTCAACTGAGCAACAACCAAAGCTGACGGCACACTTGTCAGATGTGCGGAAGGACCATAACTTACTGGTTTTCATTATGCATGGGCTGGTGCGGGATACTCACAGCCTGATAAGACTTGAGCATAATTACCATACTTAACATCAGACCATTAAGGAAAAGATAAAAAATCAACACATATATTATGATCTGACTGCCTACATTTGAAAATAGAAATGTACAAACCATCCCTGCTGCTGCTAAGTAATTTCATTCTAATTAATGTAGTTATAATAGTGCTCTCTGCAATATTGATGTGTTTTTTTTTTACTTTGACACACAGACCTAAGTAAAACTCTGCTGTACATACTTACTAAATGTATTACTTGTTTTCAAGTAAGCATGCTTCTTGCACGGAATAGTAAGATAAATTGCTACTTATCGAGTCTAACAAGCGGATACAGGTTGATTAATAATGAACTATGTTCTTAGGTACCCGTCCTGCACCTGACTGCTCAACCCCAGCATTTATAGGCTACCAGATGCAGTTTTAAAACAGCATTCCTAAATAGGAGTGATCAGCAGCGCTCTGTTAATTTACTTACAATGAATGTCCAAGTTTATTATCACAGGAACAATTTTTCAACAGATCTATTTGGTTTTCTTCAGTTCAAATCAGTTTTTCACACAGCCCTGAAACACATCAGGTGTCTTTCAAGGCACTTTACAAGACAAACCAATCCCTTTAACATAGAGAAATAATGTTCATTTAATCCAATCATATAAACCAATTCAGACATAATAAAATACATTCTTATTTTATTCCTAGCTATTATGCAATCCCAGTTTATTTTGCCTCCTTAACGACAATAAGCTAAAAGCTTTGTAATTACCCCCTAATAAATGAGCTCTTAAAATAACCTGATTATATTGATTTTTAAACTGGGTTATGTTTGGACATTATTTTTAAAAAATGTTTCACTATTTTACACTGAACAGTTAAAAAAAAAAAAGGTTGTTCAAATACCGTGCATCTTTTGTAGTTGATAAGATTGCAACAACATTTTCACAAGTCACATGCAACTAAGCACATCCAGCAGTGCATTATGGGTAGCTTTGAGAACTGTAATGTCTCAATTGTCTCCCAGCAGGGCTAGTCCTGAACATAATTACAATCTAATGGGTAAATAGAATAAGTGTTCCACATAAAAGCAAAATAAAAAATTCTTCAAAGAATCCACCATCAGTGAAAAAGAATTCAGTTCAGGGCTGAAATAAGAATGTCTCAGCATAATTAGAGCTGCTCTAGAAAGGGAAAAATACTTTAAACACACATTTCATAAGGTGATTTAATCAAATGCAAGAATTTTAAGTGATGCGGAAGAATCAGAGTGAATTCCAAATGCTCCCATTAGAACTATAATATATATATATATATATATATATATATATATATATATTTATTTCTGTCTGAGTGAAAAGATTTTTTACAAAAACATATACACAGCACGCAAGGGT